GACCGCTTGGATCTTCTGTGGCCGGCGGCAGCCGAAACCAAAACAATCGCCTTTCCAGAGGTTACCTGCTCAAGGAAAGGGTGAGAGGAGGGTTGTGGTGCAAGAGCTGCCATTTCCACTTGCTTGCTGGCTTGCTGAGAAAAATGAGGCCAAGACAGACCTGTCTGAGACTGCTGCATTGTGAACACCGAAAGATCCTCGCTTGGAGAAGGCGCTGGTGTGTGGTGATGCAGAGGACAGTGGGATGGTGAGGAGGAACCTAGACCACCATGGGAGAGTATGAAAAGCCTCTGGGTGTTTTTCATAGTGGGAAGTGGACAGGTGGAGGGGCAAGCAAGGAAGCAGGGAAGAGCCCCACATCCTCTTCCCAGCTGTGCATCATACATGTGAGGAATACATCTGTGCAGCCTCCAGGAGGCTGGTCCAAGTGAGCTGTTCTCTGCGTTCCTTGTCTGCTGAAAGCAGCATCCCTCCTGATGTTTGCAAGGACATCACAGAAAAGTGCGATAGTGTGTTCGTCCTTCCCATGTGCCTCCAGTATCACTCTCACTGCACAGCAGGGTGGTCAGGTCAGAGCCATGGGAAAAGTAAAAATCCAAATAATCTCCCTAGGAGACAGCTCCACGGTGGCTTTATTGTCAGCCTTTGCACTCGTGTAAGCACCAGCTACATGCATGGAAAGGTCATGGAGAGCCCCAAACACCTGCAATCACCCTTCAGAGAAACTTCTGTATCTGGGAGTCTAAAGCAATATGAGTAGGGAAGCATGTGGGTGCCCCTTCATCAGCATTTTAGATGTTACCCACAGGTCCCAGCGGTGAAAGTCAGCATAACATCCAAGCACTAGGCACCACAACAAAAGCCATCGTATCCCATTTTATTGTCCATATAGTGAAGAGAAACATGGAGTACAAACACGTGTGAGTGGTGACATCAAGGAAATGGTAGCTGCAGAAGATGCGAGTATGTCTCCTTGGTCCAGGTTGATAGCTCCTGGTGGCTTCCCTGGGGAGAGGATGGAGCACCTGGCATTGCAAATGTCAGGTACAAGTAGGCTTCTTGGTGGGGGTGAATTTCCCAGTCCCAGGACTGTCTGCCTCTCACTCTCAGAGTCTGGATGAAGCCAAGCAGCACTGCCGCTGCCTAGCTCTGCTACTCTCCCTTCTCTATCTCTCCAGAGTCCATGAGATTTACTACAGCTCAGGTTGGCTTTTCCTGTATTCTTTAACAAAACTCTGTGTTTGGGAAGTCCCAGTCTGTGTTGGGGTTGATGGTGAGGGGTTTCCCCTTCTCTCCTGCCTCACCAAGGCCTGGCCTGAGGAATGGGTACAGCTTTGTGGACCCTTCGATGGAGATTTCCAGGATACAGTCTGAATTTCTGATGTTGTAGAAGGACAGTGTGCTGTGCTCAAAGTCCAAGTGCAGCCCAACCACTTTTAGTGGGACAGTACCACTCTGCATCTTGGCCTTGGCCTCCACAGGCCAGTACTCCCCGTTCACTCTTCTCAGTGACCAGACCCCATCCTCAGGGAGGTCTTCCCACCTCCTCTCTCGCAGTGTCTCCCTCACAGCCTCTGTCAACACCCCCAGCTCCCAGTCCAGCCCACCCCACACCTGCACCTCCCAGTAATGACGCCCAGAGCCAAAGCCCTCCCTCCCCACCACAACAGGGAGCTGGTGCTCCCTGATGGGCATCTGAGTGGAGGGCTTGTGCTCGACTGTTCTCCGGTCAGAGGACACAGCAAGCTCTGAGTGTTTCTGTGCTTCATCCAGAGTGATGGGAACTGGGGACAGAGAGGAGGAGCCGTTAGTGACAATTGGGCGACAGGGCCAGGAGTAGAGATGCTCATGAGCAGAGGGACAAGATGCCTCTCAGAGAAAGCACTGGAAGGAGAGCTCCTGCTCCCCTGTCGGGAAGGAGTCAAAGCATGGCTTCTAGCCCGAGGGTGTTGCCACCTTCCTGGCAGGCAAAGAAGGACAGCTTCATTCCCAAGCGTGCTGCTCCCAGGTCTGTAGGTCCACACTGTGAGACCTGGGCCATGGGTGTAGCTAGACCCAAGGGAGCATCCAGACCATGTCCATATGCCACTGCTCAGCAGACAGCAACATTTTGGCCAGCTTGTTCCAGAAGGAACAAAGGAGACTTGCTGCCAGAGCTCATGCCTTTCCTTAGCTTCCAGCCCTCCTGTCAGATTCCACCTCCACAAACTTACCCATGTGGCTTCGAGCTCTTCTGAACTCTGTTAAAAAAGAAAACCCAAATCAAAAGCAAATACCCTATGTTCAAAGACCAAAGCACCCATGCTGGGTCGATGTCCTTTCCGTATTGCGGGTGCTGTGACCCTCTACTGTTCTACCCTCCCAGATGTGCTTCACATGCCCCCAGCTGAACTATGGGGACATCACCAAGCTTAGAGTGAAGCTGTCTGACCCTGCAGTACTCTCTTTGCTATGGGAGGAGCTGGGTCGCAGTTCATTCACATCTGGAGTCACTGATCCCTCCTCTCGCAGGAGCTCAGCCAAGTTCCCCATGGTGATGGGGCAGAAAGTCACATCTGGAACGTGTTTTGCTAGGACTATGGACTTAAGGAAAGTCTCTGCTCCCTATCACAGGCAGAGTTGTCTAAATAGAGGCAGAGGAAAGGAAGATGCCTTGACTTACCTAGCTCACTGCTCAGTGTATCTGAAACAGAAACAGAGTGTGTTATGGACTGCTCTTTGGTCAGTGAGAGGACACTACCACTGCTGCATCCAGACAGATACCCAGGGAGAAGAATCATGACCAGAGAGCAGGATATCTTGTCACCATCTATCACTAACTCTTGGACACAGCATGAGGACACAGACAGTTTGCACCTCTGCACTTCCAAGGGCAGGGCACTTCTGTCTGTTTACCACAAGGGCAACACCCTTCCCACTTTCCTCTGTAAATGGTCTCTTACCACATCGTTTCTTCAGCTCATCATGATCTGCAACAGAAAGAGGAGAAAAACATCTTTGCTTTCCCTGCTGAGGATCTGAAGGAGACATTTCAGATGTCCCTGCATCAGAGCTGCTTGGCAGTGTGGCAGGACGTGCAGGGGCTGCAAGGCAATTTCCCTCCTGAGCATGGTGCCCGGGGGCAGCCAGACAAGCCTGTGCATTCTCCATTCGTGTTAGGTGAATTCTGGGTCTGGCTGCCGATGTTGATTTTGATCTGAAGACAGCTTGCATGCAATTTCCTTAGTGTGACCTGGCTGTGTACATGAAAAATGGGATGTGAAAGGAGAGGGCACTTTGGAGCAATGAAGAGGAGAAGCCTGGATGGGCGAAAATTATGTGATGATGGCTACATGTGCTTGGGAAAACTCAAGTGGGACTTTGCTAGTGTGGAAAGATTCATTTTACCGTACCTCCATGCATAGTTGTTTTCTGAAGTCCTGTATAGCAAGGGAAAAAACACAAGAGTTAACCAGTGAGTGATACCTTGACATCCACAACACACCCCACAGAACCCTCAGGAAGATCACAGCTGCTGAGACATAGGCGGTCATGGCCCTGACTGAGATCTGCCTTCAGCTTGCTCAATCCCTTTGTCCTGCAGAGGGGCTGCTGATGCGGTTGTTCTGAAGTCCTCACCTGACACCTGCCCTGTCTCTTCTGTCCCTCACTAATGCAAGGACGTGACAGGTTCCCTCCATCGTAGTGAACTAAGAAGTCCTTCCCTGAACAGTTAAGTTCCTGGGAAAAGGGCATGGAGCTCTCCGAGGGCCATGCTCCTGCTGCTTGTGATAGGTGAAGGGATGAGAGCAGTGGGGATATGAAGCAACTTCCTGGGGAAGTCTCGAAGCGAAGCAACTGGCTTCTTCCTTTCCTGGAGGCTAGTGAGCCAAGGGGGCTCTTAGGACTATGTCTTTTTTCACATCTTCACTAGCTCTTCAGGTGAGAGAAGAGGAGGAGTATCTCAGCTTTGCTCTGTGGATGCAAGGAAAGCTCTCTGCAGCTGAAGGAGGGAAGGTGCGTGTGAGTGGGCACCAGAGACACTACTCACAGAATGAGACCTGCCTTACCTTGCTCCTGTAAAGCGTTTTCTTCATCGGATTTTTCCTTGGAAGCCCTCTTTTTGTCTGTAACATTCAAAGAACGCAAATGAAAGAAGTATTGAAGCACAAAGGAAATATTCTGAAGGAAATAACTGATGCCACACATGGATTGGATGGGAAAACTCATCTGGATTCAGTTGGGACATGCCATAACAAGTCGGGTGGTCCACGGGAGGAGGTGTGAACACCTTGTGTTGGGATGGGGCAGAAGATAAGAAGAACTTCTTTTTAGCCCAACTATCTTGCATTGTATGAAAAAGCTCTTTGTCCAGGTTTTGCCACTCTGTCCTTGTTCTTCTTGTATCATGAGCTTAGTTACTGAGCGATGTGAGGAATATTGGACATAATGTCTTTAAATCTTGCCATTCATGTTACATCAGCAATCTCCATTCCCCACCTCAAACCCTGACTGGTCTGAACCGTCTAGGCTGATGGGATTGGGCTGGGGCATCAGAGATAGAAGCCACCATGCATAGTGGTGGGACTGTGACCACATTGATAGATGAGTGCAGACTTCCAGCAGGTCTTGTTTCAATATCTGCTCACCTTGCATCGCTGTGCCCACCCCTACAGGGGCCTAGCACAGTGTGGAAGGTGGTCTGAGCTCTGTTGCCTTGTTCATTGCCTCTTTCTCTTTCACAGGTAGGTTTCAATGAGGCAGCAAACAAAGTGCCCTTACCTCGAAATACCAGAAAAGCCCCAGCAGCCAATGCGAGAAGAACTAAAGTGAAAAGTATCCAGAAGGCAGTGAGCCATGGAGATACACGTGGAAAAACAGCACCTGTGAAAAGAAAATGTCTGAATGTCATCTGGCAACACGGAATCTTTCCCCCAAATCTGGGTACCCACCCAAAGGGTTCTTCTAGAGACGAATGGGGAAATTTTCACAACCCCACATGGTCCAGCAGAGCCTGCCTTCTCCAGGGGTGTGCTAGAGCACCTAGGGCCAGAAGGATGCTTCTCATTTCTCACTGCAACCTGTCCTGCCTGCAGTGACGCATGGCGGTGTGGGATCCATCTAGCTCAGCTGGAGAGCTATTGCTGTCTCAGTCACTGAAAAAGGCCTTACAGGGGTTCTAGGACAATGAGTCTACAACAGAGACTTCTCAGGACGAGGTGACTCACTTGAGAGGCGCACAATAGCTTTTTTCTCAGCCTGCACCAGGGGGTTCAGGATTTGACAGGTGACATCTCCCACTTCTTCTCCTGTAACTGTGACTCGACTCAGCACACTGAAAAGTTGCTTGCTGTCCTGGTGTATTGCAGTGTCCGGAGACAGGCTCTGCTTATTCTGCGTAACCCACTGGACAGTAGGTTTGGGGTACCATCCATGTGATCTGCAGGTGAGCTCAATGCCGTGCCCTTGCGGGCCCAGTATTTCAAAGAATACTTCACTGGTACCTTAAAGGCAAGAGAGTTTGTTAGTGACAGAAGTGTGTTTCCACAAAAGCAGCTCTACCTCTATTCACAGCTCTGGCTTCATCCAGAGTTTGGTCTGATTTCCCGACAGTTTCTCTCCCTCCTTAATCCAGTCCTTAAAATGGTCTTTCTGAGATGCCAGACTCCATCTGCCGTAGATGCCACCTTTTCTTTGGCTGAGAAAATCCACACTGTGGGATTAGTTGGCCTCTCAGCTCCTCGCTGTTTCTCAGAGCAGGCAGGCAGACAAAAGATGTGTGGCTTTGTATCCGTTTTGTAGTATGAATCTGTAGGAGCCTCGTCCAAGTTTGAGGAGTTGGAAAGCAGAAACCAGCACAATTAGACGTTCTCAGCTTTTTCCCTGGCATCTCCCTAGTTCACACTAGTGCTAAACATGCGCATAGGTGGTCACTGCATAGGGACTGCACCAAAGCTGCTCCACTGTGGCTGGCTGGGATGCACCACATCTTAGAGATTGATTACAGCGGAGATTGCTTATCACTATGGAATAGAATAAAATCATAGAACTAGAACATAGACTCAATTGCGTGAATACAGGTGTGATAAGAAACCATACGATCATTGAATGCTGCTCTCAGTTGTCCTCTGTACAGGCCTTATCGTGTTTGGGTTAAAAACCAACTGACCTAGTGTAAGGTAAGAATAAGAAGGTGTAGCAAGATTAATGTCATAGGTCAATAGGTTAAATTTTAGAAATAGGAGTAAGTTTAATAGAACATCTTGAAGTCTCTTGAAGTCTTTATCAGGATTGTAACAAACAGAATTCACAGAAGAAGATGAAGGACAGACGATGACCCCGAGACAACCCTGAAACCAAGTGGGACCTGAAGTCAGCAAGGGAAAATTCTGCTAAGATAAAAGAATAGAGAGAACTTAATAAATCATCGATGTACTTGAAGAAATGGAACTGTTACTTAGAAACTTGCGAAGATTCTAGACTTGATGTAACCAGTTTAAGAAATGCATATAAACTGGTCTAGCCAATTGAACTTTGCCACTCACCGAGGTGATGGCCCAACTCTGAGTTGTGAATAAAGCAATACCTAGTGTAACCCACTCGTGTGACAGTAAAATCTTTAACAGCACACACATTTCTAAGTCAGACTCCTGAATCTGAGATGCATTTCATAGGAATGTTTCTTTGTCAATAGTAGGAAATGGGAATCAGCTGGAAGCTTTTTCTCTCTCCATCCCAAAAGTTTTTCTAATCTCCTTTGGAGGAGGGGATGCTGTTTTCCGTCAGTGAATCCAAGATGACCAGCTCCACCTAACATTCTAGATACCTGTACACAAATGATTCCTACTGTCCAGCTGGGAGCTGAACTGGCAGCCCAGAACATCTCCTTAGCCCAGCTGAGAAGTCAAAAGAGTGAAGATAGGGCAATCATTCACATCAGTACCACAGTCAGGGATCCTGACCCCAGTTTCTTGACAGCTTTAGCAAGCTGTTCCTTCACGTTTCATTTCACCATGCAAGGCAACTGCCTTTGCACTTACATGCTGAAATCCAGACCCTGTCTCTCCCGCAAGATTCAGGTTTAAAGCCCCTTCCTTGCCTAAAACTACCAGGGCTACCATGACCCTCATGGGCCTGGTCAGACCGCCAGTTCCCTGTCTTCCCTGCTGGGTGGTGGCACATGGGTCGAGCTTTTCTTGGTCCTTCCTTGCCTAAAACTACCAGGACTACCATGACCTTCATGGGCCTGGTCAGACCGCCAGTTCCCCGTCTTCCCTGCTGAGTGGTGGCACATGGGTCGAGCTTTTCTTGGCTCCTTACAGACCTCTCAGTGGCTTAGAATTAAAGTATAACACATCTGATCAAAAGACAAGAGCCATATGGCCCACTGGCTGATGTGAGCAGGAAGGTGATGTGTTGGGTCTTATGAGGGGGGCATCAGCTGAGGGACAGTACACTTTGAGAGAGCTTTTTTCCCTCTGTAAAAACTTCCCCCCTTCACACCCCTAGCCCGTGAAATCTCCAACCTGCAATGCTGAGCACGGTGGCTGTATCAGCACTCCAGTCCTTGGACTTCACAAAGCAGCTGTATGTTCCTTCATCTGCTGGCTGGACACTCTTCATTGTTAGGGACACATTCCCAGTGGCAAATCCATCTGTTGGCAATGATGTCCGTCCAGGGTATTGCTGCTTTTGTTTGCCATCAAACTGCCTGTATATGTGGATATTCTCTATATGCCCATCCATTACTTTCTTCCATTGCACTTCAATGTTGTCCAGTGGCTTTGTGGAAGAGATGTGGCAAGGAAGGGTTGTGTCCAGGCCGACAATCCCCACTACATTCTGGGGAGAAGTGACCTCAAAATTTTCTGTGGAAACCAAACTTGAGTGAGCATCTGGCTGAAATCAATCAGAAAATATGTGAAGGACACAGAGGACTGGGACAAACATTTAACCCTGTTCCAGAGAGTGGGGAAAAACTGAAAGTTGCAAATATTCACCAATGACATTAGTCCCTTCTGTTAACGTCCCTTCAGGCTACGACAGAATAGATCACAACAGAAAGATGACAAACAATGAAAAGAAAAAGACAGGAGCTCTTTGGGGGAAACTGTCGGTTTGGAAATATCTTAGGAAAGCATAATTAATGATTTGATGGAAATGGTTCACATGTTTTCTTTCGCTTCTATAAATGTTTCTTTAGTTTTTTCATTTTGGGTTGGAGCATTCACTCACGCTCTTTCTCCTTTTTTCTTTTCTCAGTGGCAAAATGGGAACTGGGGAAACTGGAACGCACAAAGTAATAGAAGAGAGGGAGAAACTATGCTGATAGAAGCAGTATAGGATGAGATTATTTTGGGGAAAAGGGAAAAAACATCTTAAAAGAATGTACAGAGATATTTCATCCAACTTCCCAGCCTGCCCTGACCCTTTCTAACCCTGTGTCATCAGCAGTGGGGCAGCTGTGCCAATGCAAACTGCCCGCACAGGTAGGGAAACGCTTATTGATGCTGTGGTGCTACTGGTAGACATGGCAGAGCTGCGTCGGGTTAGGGCTTCCCCATCTCCACCAAGGAATACAAACTCCGGCTGGAAAGGGGTGGATTCCCTGACAGCAGAGCAGCTCTGGCTCTTCTGGAGTGGGTCTCTCTCAGGAGACCATGATCCTCAGCTTGAGCACTTCCTATCATCTGCAGACTTGAAGCCCTCTGAAATGAGCAGAGCAGCGTATGAAAGTGTTACCTGAGAGAGGGATTGCTACGAGCAGTGCCACGGCGAACGAGAGCCACCTCCTCCGTTCCATACTGGTAGTCGCATACGTGGGACGATCACACAGATGACCTGAAACAGGCACAGAAGGGAAGTACACAAAGAAAGGAAATCCTGCCCTAAACCCATCTGATGCCTCTTAAATAGCGCTTGCCATATGCTGCACCTTCTGAAGGCGCAAAGCACTCAAGCAGTTGAGTTTCAACATCAAGAAAACTTGTGCCTTTCCAGAGATCTCAATTAACCTTGCAGCTTCTGGGAATTTCTTGCAGTCTAACATGTTCCCTGGAAGTTGTGACAGGGTATGTAAGAGAGAAAAATTCTACCCAGCCCCAATGCCTGCTGTAAAATTTGATGGACCCCTTGATTAACATACCAGCTTGACTCTCTGGCCTGGGTTGCACGAGTCTCTCAGTCCACGCTCTGAGATACGGGGAAAAGGAGGAAGAAACTCTGTTTATCCACTCCCCTGCCTAAGTTTGGATGATGGGGAAACCATCCTGTTTGCTATTCTGAAGATGCTGCTCCCTGAGAACCACCAGACTGCAAAATGACAGTGCATCAGCTCTTGCACAAACCTGATATAATTTAGAGAGCTGCACAGGGGTTGGCTTTGCTGTACTATGCTAAAAAACTTTCCCTTCTCTGTCTTTGGATCTTTGTGAACTTTGATATTTCCAGTATGTGGCTGACTGTCCTTATCTCAGTCCCCATAGCAACGCTTTCAGTGGGATATCTTTATTGCTTTATTAGTGTTCAATATTCCATGTTTGGTGAGCAGTAAGGAAGGCAGGGCATCTAAATGACTTCCAAGCAGGAGTTAGTCACCCTGCACTGCAGTGTCTGCATACATCCCTACATCCCAGGGAAGGTGGCCTACGGGTCTCACAGCTGCATCTGATGTGACTAAAATGGATGCTGTCAGAATGGGCACAATGGTGCATCAAGCCAGCCAGTCAGCCTCCCTTATTCTGGATTAATTCTTGTGCCAGGAAGGCAGCTGCTGTGTTTCACCAACTGGGTAAGCACAAGTGCAGTGACAGGGGAACTATTCAGTTCACCTGGTTTTAGTCACAAATTCTCCCTCTTCACTTGCTAAAGAGAAACAAGGACTAACAGAGGTATTTCATCCAACTAGCCATAGACAGCTACAGTTGGGGTTCATCACCACTCATCTCTGATATCCAAAGCACAGCTTTTTTCCTCTGAGCTGGCTGCTTTTAGCTCTCTTTAATGCACATGGAGGTAAACGGGCACTGCTAGGTCCCACATCATCCAAGAAGACACAGGTCTTAAGGTCCAACGACCACAGCCTTAGCTCCACTGACTGCATCGCCCATGTCTCCCTAAACTACACAGGCAGGGCAGGGCATCGAATGTTTCACTGCAACTGGCACTAAAGTTTACAAGCTATCATGCAAATTCTAACACAAAATTTTGTTGGAGACATTAATTTGAAGATCTAATGTGGGAAAGGGATTAATCTTGCTTTAATCTTGCTTAGAGATGAGGGGGTTGCTCCTCAGTTGCTTAAAGAGAAGTCTCTAGGGCTGTTTCTGGTATTATTTGGGTTGGGATACTAAAACAGACATTTGGTTGGAGGCAAGGCAGATATGACACAGGACTTGTAGAAACATCATCCCGTCTGGATCAGCAGCTGGAGGCTTAGAAATGCAAAATGTCAGAAGACAAGTGTGCTTAGATGTCTCCTAGATGTGTGCACTGTCCATTAAATCTTACAGGCCCATTTGAAATTCAGGGCAGTGCCATCCCTCCAACCTACTTTCAACTTCTACCCAAGTCTGAGATGGCTTGCACTGATGAGACTGGATACATCAGAGAGCAGAAAGTAGGATCACATACAGACAGGAACATCTGGACAGATGAGTTCCAGCCAGAACATGCTGAGACCTTAGACACCTTGTTTAGCAACACTAATATTTCTGCTGACAAATGTCGTATCATTCGTAAGTCTAACGTTTAAAAGATTTTCCTGTCATCCAAGGAGACCCCAAAAGACACCCTGCTGTCTAACAAGTCTTCATTTACTACTTCAGAAACCAAAATGACATTCCCAAAGAAATTAAATGCTTTTCAAAAGAAGGCTTGTGAAAATATATTACAAAAAAAAAAAAAAGAAACCAAAAAAAAACTGACAACACAATACCACAATACCAGCCAGAGTTTCTTAGTCCCGTGAGCTCCGTGAGGGATCTGCTAAACAGACATGCCATGACTTATTTTAGCTAACATCAGTAATCATTGTTATACTAGAAGGGTAGAAAAGGGAGCTGGGTTAACTACGATACTGCAGCACACATGAAATTCACAAAGATCATTGAATGTACAGGAATTATAATATGAATGGTTTTACAAAGGTGAATTCATGATGACCTGATATTTGTTGCGTACGAGTTGACAACCTCAATCATTCAAGGGACTAATCAGGAAATTTTCAACTCATTTCTGCAGAAGCAAGTAACTCGCTGGCTGCTATGACAACTTTTATCATCCTAAGTTACTATAATATCAAGTCCCATATTTTCTCAGCTTTCAACAGGAGAGAGTTTCAAGTGGGTGTACTTCATCAGCTTTACTTTGTCCCAAGGTGCTGTCCCAAGAGGGTGCCTGGACTCAAAAGTCCTTTTTGGAGGGGGAATACACCCCTTGTCTCCTGCTCTGCAGCCTCCCCTTCAAATTCACACTGGGAAAGCATAACCAGCCCTGGACACAAAAGACAGCAAAAAAATCCCTGATGAAACAAAAATCAAACCCGGATGACCAGATGATACCTCATCTTTTTGCCCCAGATCACCATTCTCTGCCTCACTTTTCTTTTCCTCTCTGAGCCCTACTGGGAACAGCCATGCTGCTGATGCCTCTGACTCTTTGCTGCCTGCACCTGAGGAGACGTGGGGGTAAAGAAAATCCTGCTGGCCCCTATGTGCACAGCTCAGATGAAGGAAACAGCAGTTCTCTTCCACCATGACAACTCTTTGGAAGAGAAAGACTTTAAGCTTACCTACCTTGGAAAATAAAGGTGATCAATGCAAAGGGTCTTTTGTCTTCTGTGCCATGGATTTAAATACAGGACCTGAGTCCTGCACGAGAGCAGTGGGTCTCACACGTTCAGAGAAGAACCACTGAACTGTATGGAAGGAAAAAGAAAGCCACCGTTGCAAACCATGTCTTGTCTTCTCTGTGCGTAATGCATCATGAAAGAGTGCTGTAGGTGACTAGATGCAAACGGATCTGGGATGGCTGTCTGAGAGAGGTTCAAGACAACAGCCCATCCTGTTGAATGCCCATTGCTTCGTGCCAAAACAGTTCTCAATTCTGGATGAAACCTGATTTTACCTGTTGTCAGACAGGAAAGATCTTCACATCCTCTGTCTAGAGAAGGAAGAGTTTGAACTCTGAACAGTGCAAATGAAATGAGCAACGATATATTAAAGATTAACTCATAATGCAGCTCTACCTGAAGATCATATATGGGATTGAGAACAAACTGTGTTTACGCGAGTCAGCTTCCCCTGGATGTCGAAATGGCACTGGTACAGAATGGGAGAGCTCCTCACTTGAGAAATTAGGGGTCTGATGCTTCGAGAGGGGTGGAAAATCTCCCCAGCTATATCCAAATCAGGTCCAGAGATAAAAAGCGAGACCAGCCTAACTGGCTGCAGGTCTTGGACCACTGAGCTTCCAGAAGGGCCAGTGCAGAGGCTGCTGCAAATTGTCTCTGTGCTTCTCCCCTGAGGGGTCCCATTGCTTTCCTGGGGAGACAGACAGAATTGTCAGCAGTGCCAGATGACACATTTGGCTCAATGTGTGAGGACCCTGAACCTGCCAAGCACCATGGCCCTCTCAAGACTGACACACAATTAGTTTTCGTAGAAGAAGGAGGGGATGTTGTACTTCTCTCTCCACTCAGTTGGGTGTCACCATGTTCGACGTCTAAGTCTGACGAAACCACCAGCACTTTCTCTTGTCATCAATGGAGAGGAAGAACTTCACCTCAGAACCCAGACACTCTGTTCTTAGGAGCAATCTGTAGTCTGGAACAGGTGGTGTTTCCCATCCAGAGGACGTGACATCTTTAGTAGCTGAGGGTAATGGAGAATCTTGAATTTGTCCTGAGGTAGTCATGGCTCCAGGCCATTGGAAGCATGCCACTACTGCATGTCTGGTATGGATTGTGCCTCCTGACAGCTGGCCTTTGTCAAAACATGGGCTTCAGCGGCTGTGGTGGTCTGACCTTGGCTTGCTGCCAGAGCTTCACCCACCCAGACTCTCACTCCCCCTCCTCAAAAAGACAAGGGGACAAAATAAGTTGGAAAAGCTCATGGGTCAAGATATAGACAAGAAGATCACTTACCAATTACCACCACGGGCACAATGAACTCAACTTTAAGAAAATGAATTTAATTTCTTGGTAATTATAATAGACTTGTGTGGCAGGAAACAAAGACAAAATTAAAACAATGTCTACTCTCAACTTCCTCTACCTTTCCCAGGCTCAGCTGCACTCTGTCACCCCAATTGCTACTCCAGTCTTCCACCCCAAGTGACACAGGGGTAAGGGGAACGAGGGGTTGTGGTCAGTCCATAACAGTTTTCCTCTGCTCCTTCCTCTTTACACTTCTCCTGCATCCAATACCAGTCCTCTTCATGGGCTGTAGTCCTTCAGGATAAACCTGCTCCAGGCTGGGCTCCTCCACAGGGCGTAGCTCCTTCAGGAAATACCCAGCCGCTCCACTATGGGGTCTTCCATGGGCTCCAGTGTGGATTTCTGCTTTGGCATCGTTCTGTCCGCAGGCTGAAGGGACACACCTGCTCCTGGTTCTGGTTCTGGTCCTTTCCCTGGTCTCTTCTCACCCCTGCAACCATCATCTCCCCACTTTCACTATCAAAATGATACCATGTAAGCCCAATACAGCCTGACTCTTCAGTTTCCTGCTCACTGCTCTCGTATTTAACTCATGCATTGTCAGCTTGTCTATGGGAATGTTATTAGAGACATTGTCAGAAACCTACTGAAGTCAAGATAAACAACATCCACTGCTCTTCCACGATCCAGCAATGTTACTCGCCTCCTTGTAGAAGGTTATCAGATTGGTCAAGCGTGTTTCGCCCTTTGCAAATCCATACTGACTGTTCCAAATCACCTTCTAGTCCTTCAGGTTTATGGAAATGGTTTCGAGGAGGACTTTCTCCATCACCTTCTCAGGTGTTGTGGTGAGGTTGCCTGGTCTGTACTTAGCTGGATCTTCTTCTTAATTTTCTTGAGTTTAGAAGGGACATTTGCTCTCTTCCACTCTTTAGGAACCTCTCTCAGTCACCATGACCTTTCAAAGATAATCAAGAGTGGCCTTGCAATGACATCGGCCAGCTCCCTCAGTAGCTGTGGGGGAAACATATGGACTTTGGCATGTCCAACATGTTTAAGGCTCCTTAACCCTGTCCTCCTCCACCACAGGTAACACCATCCCTCCTTCTTCCTCCCTTTACCCCTTCATGGAGAGAATTCCATTTTAATTTCTCGATTTCCCATCTCCCCAAAACCTCCCCAACATCACACAGTTATTAGGGCATCTGGAGATACTCCTGGCTCAGTATGTCGAGGAAGCAACTGCTGTGAAATTTGATACTAAGAGGAAAGTCCAGTGAAAACCCAAGAGCACTGTAGTCCAAAGACATGACCTTCTCTAAAGGCAGAATCACTCATGTTTCAGGCTGATTTCTCTAAATGGTGTCTGTCAAGTCTCAGGGAAACTGTGCCTCATTCCCAATGTAACCCGACAACAAACTATTTGATTTAAAGAAAAATGAGAAGTGATCTCCAGGCAGAGCCACACCCTGAGTTAATCTTTAATATTTCATTCTTCATTTCAGTTTCACTTTTCAAAGTTAATCCCCAAGTGAACTGATCATAGTCCAAGTCCACAGATGGAAGATGTGGAGATCTTTCTTATCTGACAAGAGGAAAACTCCAGCTTGAAACCTGATACAAGGTTGCTTATTGATCAGCTTTTTGCGCTAACCAGCGAGTATTCAGGAGGGTATGTGGTTTTCCTTTGGTGTCCCTAACACTGAAGCTCTATTTGCACCTAATTGTCTACAACACATCCCTCAGATGGACGACGAGACGTGATCTTCAGGTAGACAAGTGACTTTTGGACAGAGAAACGCTAAATTTAAACTTCAGAACCTGGTTCTTCTTTTCATTTTCCTTCCCTTCTGCAGGTGGAAGTTTCCCTGGAAAGAAAGGCAAAGATAGCTGTCCTATATTAGTGTTCACCTTCATTCATTAAGGCAGGTAAGCATGCATCTTCTAATTGTTTTGCTTCTGAACAAGCTGTGAATGCAGTCTTGATGCGGGGTGGAAGGGGACCACTCTGTTTCCTTCATACAAGCTGTGCACACAGCGGCCAGCAGCCTCTTCTCGTCCACCATGTTCGTGGAAGGGGACCACTCTATTTCCTTCATACAAGCTATGCACACAGTGGCCAGCAGCCTCTTCTCGTCCACCATGTTTCCTCAGGTGAAGAGGGGAAAGTATTGGGGTCAACAGCAGCACGGCTGTTCCTGGTAGGGCTCAGAGAGGAAAAGAAAAGAGAGAGAGAATGGTCATCTGGGGGAAAAAGCTGAGGTATCAACTGGTCATCTGGGTTTGAGTTTTGTTTCAACAGGGATTTTTCTGCAGACTGTTGGGTCCAGGGAGCCGCTTGGGGCAGTGCCTTGGGGCAAAGAAAGGCTGGTCTCCCTGGCAGGGATCAGAGAGGAAAATGAAGGTGACAGAGCATGGACTCAACTGGTCATCTGGGCTACATTTTGTTTTACCAAGGATTTTTCTGTTGTCTTGGATGTACAGAGCTAGCTGGGCTATTCCAACAGGACTTTGAAGAAGAGTCTATGGAGCATGAGGCTAGGGTTGTATACCCCCTCTGAAAGGAACACTTGAGTCTAGGGAACCCCCTGGGGTCAGTGACCTGGGCATAATAGAAGGCTGATGAAGTCTAGCCATCAGTACCAATGCTTGAAATTGTCAAGGTTGGCCCATACCAAGCTGGGCCTGTCCAAACCGTTCCTCTCACAGCAGCAGGATGATGTCTTAGGGCAGTGGCTTCCTGTGCCTGCTGGGATGACAGACTTGACTCAGCAACATTGCCAGGAATACTCCAGGCAATAGTCACCTACCGCAAACCAGAATCCCAATACCCATGATCTCACCTTCACTGGATATCCAGATCTCCTTTGCAAGCAATGGGGGAAGCACGGCACTTCCCAGACAACATTTCTCACCACTCTTGACTTGAATCCTTCTTGACTGATGTAAAGTAGCCTCGGGGTAGGAATTGTCTCAGACAGGAGGAACAGGCACAGAGTAAGATGATGGGTGTCACAGAACAGCCTGACAAGGGTAGGAATTGTCTCAGACGGGAGGAACAGGCACAGAGTGAGATGATGGGTGTCACAGAACAGCCTGACAGCATCCCTCCTAGCCGCATCGGATGGATAAGGCAAAGTTTTGTGGCCTGGAGGCTCATTTGGACACTGCAGTGCAGTCTGTTGTGTTCAAAGGTTCCTAGGCCCACCCTACCTTAAATTTGACAGAAATGCTATTTTGGAGTGGGTACCACACTAAAAGACCTCAAAGTAAAGCTCTTGCTGTAGGAAATGACGTAGGCCTATGCCTCCAGATCAGCAGGTGTCTATGCTGGCAATATGGCCAGCTGAGAAGCTGTCATTTCAACAACTCCTTCAGTTGAACTGAGGTAGGGACCTATTTTTGAGGAAGGTAAACAGAGCAACAGAATGTGTGTGATGCCACTGACATACAACTCTGCCCTCATCACAATGGGAGGTGGTGTATCAGAGTGCGGACAGGCAGTCACCACTCCAAAGTATTGTGGAGTGTTCCGAGCCCCATGGCGTACCTCCATAAGCAACCATCTTTTCCCTTCTGCACTCTTTCTAGTGGGCTGTTTAACTATCAAAGGCGTGCAGGAGAATGGATGGGTCCTGCTCACTGGGGTTCTACTCCTGGCCTTTCCTATTGCAGGTAAGACCTCTCCCTGCCCACTTTCAGCTCCCTCCCCACCCAACAAACTCTCTCAGTTTCCCCTATTAGCTTTGTCCACCTTTTGTTTGCCACTACCCTAAAGAGAAAAGCCAAGAAGAAAAGATCAGAAACTCTCCATATAAACACAACTTCTCTTTTCCAGAAATGCCGTGTTTTCAGGGCTTCCAAACAAAACACAGTTTAAATCAAAACCCCTCACCTCATTACTCTCTGCTACTTCTTATGACTCCCATCATCTCACACCATGCATGCCTACTTGCCGCAGAATCCCAAGAAAACCCATGGTTTCCGCTCTCTTGTTTGTCACACTGCATCTGTTCCCCATTGTCTCACACTATCAAAGAAAGTCCTCCCTAATGACTAATGGAAACTGGCACCCCTGAAAATGGGGAGAGCTGATGCCTCGCTAGTCCTGTGGTCCAGACCCATTAACAGGTGCAGTTATTCAGGCCAGGCACTCACAAAGCTTTGGTCCTTCTAGGAAAGCTCCAAGTCACGTCTCATCTGGACATCATGGGAGTTGCTGGCCAGGATGTGGCATTGCCCTGCCACATCACCTCCACAGAGCCACTGGACATTTTAGAAGTGCAGTGGGTGAAAATCATTGACTGGAAGACAGAAGGTGTGCATAAATATACAAAATTGGCTGAAGACTGGCCAGGGGAGAAGTACCAGGGGTGCACAAACCTTCTAAGGGATGGATTTACCCTTGGGAATATGTCTCTTTTGCTGAGGGGCATCCAGCCAGCTGATGATGGCAAGTACAGCTTCATTGTGCTGTCCAACAAAGGTGCAAGAGAGATCACTACCATGCTCAACGTTGCAGGTGAGGATTTCAGGGCCAAACTGTGCAGACAGGGTGTGTGAGGAGGTGAGGGTGGGGGGATGTGTCCTCTCCACATGGTACCCATGGTGCAGCACCACTCCAGCTCTGCCCTGCCGTGGTTGTGAGGCTCACGCAAGTGGCACCACCCGACAGCACTTCCCTGTATGCAGCTCCCTTCTGCTCCGGGTAACCACTGTGCCTGGGGTAGAGGATAATTTGCCTGCCCTGCAGAGAGCTGCAGAAGAGCTGCTGCTCAGCTCCTGGGAGGAACTCTCAGGCTTGGTGGCCAAGATTTGGCTTCCCGGGCGGACCTGTGACTCCACCACGGACCTGCTTTCATGAAGGTACTCTCCTTGCAGTAAGTCTCTCCCTCACCCTCTCTCTTCTTCCAGGCTTTGGGGCTCTGTCCATCGATGTGCTAGGTGACCAAGGGCAAGGTGTAGAGCTGGTTTGCAGATCGTAAGGCTGGTTCCCCAAACCCATTGTCCAATGGGTCACCAAGAACATGCAAAGTCTGTCTCCAGACACTGCAGTACAGCAGGACAGCGAGCAGTTCTTCAGTGTGCTGAGTCGTGTCACTGTCTCCAGAGACCAAATGGGAGAAATTGGTTGCCAAATCCAGAACAACTTTCTGCAGGAAGGTGAAGATTTTTCCATCACTCTCTCAGGTGCATCATGAGCCTCTCGTGCTTGTCCTCAGGTCTGCATGTGTGAATCAAGCAGCTTGTAGGGCCTGTCCCAGCTAAAGGGGAAGCTGTGGGTTTCCTCCATTCCCAGAGGCAGCAACACACCTTCCTATGGGAGGAACGCTTGCGGCAGCTGCTGGAGCTCCCAGGCTCACTTGCATTCCACGCTCTACTAATTAGACAAATGGAAAACCATTTTGCCTGCACAGACTGTGAAATGTTTTCTTTTCACAGGTGCTGTTTTTCCACGTGTATCTCCATGGCTCACTGCCTTCTGGATACTTTTCACTTTAGTTCTTCTCGCATTGGCTGCTGGGGCTTTTCTGGTATTTCGAGGTAAGGGCACTTTGTTTGCTGCCTCATTGAAACCTACCTGTGAAAGAGAAAGAGGCAATGAACAAGGCAACAGAGCTCAGACCACCTTCCACACTGTGCTAGGGCCATGTGGGGGTGGGCACAGCCATACAGGGTGGGGAGATATGAAATAAGACCTGCTGGAAGTCTGCACTCACCTACCAATGTGGTCACAGTCCCACCGCTGTGCATGGTGGCCTCTATCTCTGATGCCCCAGCCCAATCCCATCAGCCTAGACGGTTCAGACCAGTCAGGGTTTGAGGTGGGGAATGGAGATTGCTGATGTAACATGAATGGCAAGATTTAAAGACATTATGTCCAATATTCCTCACATCACTCAGTAACTAAGCTGGTGATACAAGAAGAACAAGGACAGAGTGGCAAAACCTGGACAAAGAGCTCATCTTTTTCATACAATGCAAGATAGTTGGGCTAAAAAGAAGATCTTCTTATCTTCTGCCCCATCCCAACATGAGGTGTTCACACCTCCTCCCGGGGACCACCCGACTTGTTATGGCATGTCCCAACTGAATCCAGATGATTTTTCCCATCCAATCCATGTGTGGCATCAGTTATTTCCTTCAGAATATTTCCTTTGTGCTTCAATACTTCTTTCATTTGCATTCTTTGAATGTTACAGAAAAAGAGAGGGCTTCCAAGGAAAAATCCGATGAAGAAAACGCTTTACAGGAGCAAGGTAAGGCAGGTCTCATTCTGTGAGTAGTGTCTCTGGTGCCCACTCACACGCACCTTCCCTCCTTCAGCTGCAGAGAGCTTTCCTTGCATCCACAGAGCAAAGCTGAGATACTCCTCCTCTTCTCTCACCTGAAGAGCTAGTGAAGATGTGAAAAAAGACACAGTCCTAAGAGCCCCCTTGGCTCACTAGCCTCCAGCAAAGGAAGAAGCCAGTTCGTTCCCTTCGAGAATTCCCCAGGAAGTTGCTTCATATCCCCCCTGCTCTCATCCCTTCACCTATCACAAGCAGCAGGAGCATGGCCCTCGGAGAGCTCCATGCCCTTTTCCCAGGAACTTAACTGTTCAGGGAAGGACTTCTTAGTTCACTACGATGGAGGGAACCTGTCACGTCCTTGCATTAGTGAGGGACAGAAGAGACAGGGCAGGTGTCAGGTGAGGACTTCAGAACAACCGCATCAGCAGCCCCTCTGCAGGACAAAGGGATTGAGCAAGCTGAAGGCAGATCTCAGTCAGGGCCATGACCGCCTATGTCTCACCAGCTGTGATCCTCCCAGGGGTTCTGTGGGGTGTGTTGTGGATGTCAAGGTATCACTCACTGGTTAACTCTTGTGTTTTTTCCCTTGCTATACAGGACTTCAGAAAACAACTATGCATGGAGGTACGGTAAAATGAATCTTTCCACACTAGCAAAGTCCCACTTGAGTTTTCCCAAGCACATGTAGCCATCATCACATAATTTTCGCCCATCCAGGCTTCTCCTCTTCATTGCTCCAAAGTGCCCTCTCCTTTCACATCCCATTTTTCATGTACACAGCCAGGTCACACTAAGGAAATTGCATGCAAGCTGTCTTCAGATCAAAATCAACATCGGCAGCCAGACCCAGA